CCTCAGTGCGTCGTTTATTCGCACCCAAGTATAGGCAATCACACGGTCCGTCATCACGGCGTGCTGGCGCGAGGTCGCGGGCCTGGCTGCGAGGGCGCGAGCGTGCGGGCACTGCTGGGCCTGTGCAGGCTTGGTGCGGGCTGCCTCGGGCCAGTGCGGGCCTGGGGCCATTTTTTTCATACTTAGGCATATTTTGAGCATTTTCGACCTATTTTCGAACCGATTTCACTCAAATCTTATTCACACCTCCCGGATAAAATTTTTGGCCCGACACTAACAGGTCGGTACTGCCGAGCGGGTCGGCACGGGCACTTTTCAATAATTTCCATACTTAGCTAAAATTTTCAACACCTCACCAAATTTTCAATCAAATCTCGACCTCGAAACCCGTTTTCACCCTAAAAAATCACGTGTGTCGTGCGGCTCGTGGAGCTATTTATTCTCGAACTAAAACGAAAAACCGGAAAAACACTAAAACCGTGGGTTGCCTCCCACGAAGCGCTCATTTTACGTCTTGAGCTCGACGTTCCCAACTAAAATCAACCGGGATCCAAGAAAAAATGTCGATCATGCCACGCCTTTGTATTTTCCAAGAGAAACCGATCCGGTAGCACGGAGCAAAGGCGGGCAAGGTAAGCTCTCGTGGCCGCGTTCTTGTGAAACCGAGCACGGATTTCGACAACCAACAAGAGGAGAAATGAATCCTTACGAACCGAGGCCTCATACTCAACCTCCGAAAATATAAAAATATCCGTGGAGCACGTCGAATCAATTCCGGGCATCGTTTGCACTATCTCGAACGTGTACTCATCAAGCTCAAGCATCGGGAGTACGGGCGTAGGCACACTAAACTCCTCCAAAGAGTCACGATCCTCAATAATACGAAACGACGCCCCAAAGGACATGGAAACCACATCATACTCAACATCACAAGTTGGCTCATCAATCAACGCACACCTCGGGTCAACGACATCACATAATAGCTCGCAATCCTCCTCAACAACATCCACAAAATCATCGACTACCACATTCTCCTCCTCAATATCATCCTCCCGAGCACTATCAACACCGTTCGACACAATCGAATTCTCAAATGAATTCTCTCCCATCCCATACACCATATCAACACCCGATTCTACATACTCACTCTCAACAATATAATTCGAACTCAAAGCACAATCACTGGGAGAAAGAGTTGACATACCTAGAGTGGGTGGCACGGCCGAATCATCAAGAGAGGATATTTTCTTAACAAGCAAATCGTTGATGTCCTCACTCGTGTCAAGAGATTGTGTTCCATCATAAACGAGAGTGAGGCCCACCTCTTTCAAGGAGGCAAACCTATCCACCATAGCTTGAAACTCGCCTTCTAACCGGATGCTCTCTCGAATAACCCTCGCCGATAGAGAACAATATCTACCGAGCGGAATGTAAGATGCGTCCAAATCAAGAAAAGAGACCACGGTAGAGTCGAACTTCGTGAGTGTGATTTGAAGAACGGATGGAATGGGAATGCACCTCCAACTATGAAACTCCTCAATGATCGACATGAGGCTCGCAAGTGTCTCTTGAGTGCTCGCCAAAACCTCTCGGTGACGTTCGGAAGGCACAACCGTTGATGGAATTGAAGCTTCGGTCCTCGGTGTACAAGGTTGACCAACCGATAGGTGCTCAAATGATGAAGAAGATGGAACATAGGACTCGGTTTCTTCTTTTTCAGATGTGGGAGCCAATGAAGCACGAAGGGATCGATTGCACTCCTCTAAATGCTCCATAATCTCGGCTATATTGACTCGAGAAGATTCTCGAGTCGGCTCGGGTGGAGATGTCGCATCATAAGAATCGGGAGGCGGTGGATAATAGTGAGGCGTCTCATCGTGACCCGGAGAGTAATAACCAAAATCGGCATGAGATGTCGGTAAAAAGTGGCTCGGGTACGGGTAAGGTGGCCCTCCATACGAATACATCACCTCATGATAGTTGTCGGGGCATCCACGAGACGAGCTACCGGCATAAGCATAGCCATATGGGTCCATCGGTACTCCTCAAGCGAAATACCTCGCACAAGAACAACAAAACGACCAAGGCACACGAGGCAAAGGAAAGAAAGCACGAAATGCAACTAACAAGACATGATATGTACACGATCACACATAGCAAAATGAAAGAGAAATCGCAAAGAAAGAGAAAAATAAGAGAAACATGCAAAAACAAATGAAAACCACAAAAAGCAAGAGAAACACGGAAACAAACGACAACTAGATAGCAAACTTGGCGTCCTACTCGCCTTCCCCGGCAACGGCGCCATTTTGTTTAGCATATAAATGATGGGCATGTGGTAACCGAGCTACCCGACTCGGGTCGATCTCGAAGGAAGGCTATTCGGAGCTTTGTCTACTAGATGATCGTCCAAGATCACAAAAAGGGAAAATAAAGTCCTAAACATTCTAAGCAATCGATTTGGAAGTTGATTAACACTAACGAGCACTTAACAACGAGCAATTAATTAAAAGCAAGATCAAAAGACGAGCAATGAGCTAACTAGATCACCGGAGTCTCATGCCATAATCATAACGGGATGATAATCAATCGACATTCAGAATAAATGAGCTACGAGCATTAGATTGCTAATCCTAGTCGTCTAACCGAGATCAACAAGCAATTAACGGCTCTATCTACTCAAGCAACGCAATCAAGCATAAGCATTTCC